AGACTGGGCAAGCAGGGAGACGGGGCAGCCGGTAATCCCCAGTCTAGGGCCCTGGCGCTGCTGTGACGGCAGGTACACAGACCAATGGAAAATGATGCATCTTTCACCAGCTCCTCCCTCTGGTCTCTGTCCTGGCTTCCCGGAATTGTAGCCTAGCCCCTCCTCCCTCTACCCCTCCGCCACCCACCACCCTTGTAGCAGAGCTTCCTGCCCTGCTTTCACAGGGCCCCCCTCCCCCAGCTCTGTGAGGCTGGGAGTGCTGCATGCGTCATCCCCTGGGGGTGGAAAATGTCTCCACCAAGGGGATGTCCCGGGGCTGTCACAGGACCCAGCCAGAGTTTAATCAACATCCCCTTCCCACCCCCACCAAACTCACCAGGCGGCCCAGGCAAGGGGTGGGGAGCAACTCCCATCTTCACCCATGACCCTGGAGTGGGAATCCTCGCCATTCCTGCTGGGGGAGGCAAGGGAGTGCATTGCACTGTGAGATGGTCTCAGACACTTGCAAAGCTGTAAAAGCCGAGTCTGTCGGAATGTTTGCAGAATTGCCTGGGACTCATCTGTAAAATGGGCTTATTGGCATTGCGGTCAGGATCAAGGGCACCAAAAGCCCAAGCTGGAGCAGAGTTTTGAGCAAACTGCACCGCTACCGTGCCACTCTGGCCCTCCCAGATCCTTGTCCCCACAGCTGTTCCTCTCTCTCAACATCTCTTGATCAAAGCTGCCAAACTGCGTCTACTAATGGCTAATCTGCAAGAACATTTTCTCTCCCTTCCAAGCAAAAGCCCCAACCAACTTATTCCAGAACCAGCTCAGCTCTTCTGTTGGAAGCTGGTTCGGATCTCCTCCCCTGTAGAAGGCTGCTTCCGAGATTGCCCCCACCACCACCACCACCTCCCGGTCCATGGCTGTACTACTGGGGCTTGTCTGAGCCATTTTTCCATGGCTGCTATAGCCTGGGTTCAAGGTGTCCTCGAAACCCAGCCATGGGGACTCAGAGGGAAACAACGGGGGGGGGGGGGGGGGGAAGGAAAGAAAGCAGCCCTATTCAAGGCACATCTGAGGGCCTCCCAGGGGTGGGGTATCCAAGCAGGTCCTAAGAGGTGCAGGATGGGTGGTGTGGGATGGGCTGTGTGGGAGACAGACCCACTGCCAAACATGGGCACAGCAGGTCAATGAACTCTTCCTGCTCTCAGTGCCCACCTCCAATCCCAGCCTCCAAACAAGAGCACACCTAGTCCCTGCTCACCCCACACTCCTTGTGAATCTGGAGCCCATGGGTGACCAGAGCTAGAACATTTCTTGCCACTCAGTGGGCGAAGGGGGAGACACAGCAGGTTAAGCCGCCACCTGCAACATCAGCACCTCATATGCACACCGGCTCAAATCCCAGCTGCTCTACTTCTGATCCAGCTCCCTGCTAATACACTTGGAAAAGCAGTGAAGGATGGCCCAAGTGCTTGGGCCCCTGTACCCATGTGGAAGATCCCGAAGGAGTTCCTAGCTCCTGGCTTCAGCATGGGCCAGCCCAGCTATTATGGCTATTTGGGGAGTGAACCAGTGGCTGTAACACTCTCTCTGTGTAAATCTACCTTTCAAATAAATAAAAGAAGTCTAAATAAATAAATTAAAGAAACCACTCACTCTGACTGTCCAGTTCAAAGAGGGGCATAACCGGCACAGACCAGAGGGGTCCCCCAAGGTGTCCGAGTCTGGGCCAGGGGAAGTAGAGGCTTCGGTCACCATTCTGACAACAACAGGACATCACGGGAGAGACAAGCAGCGGTATGCAGTGCCCAGATGGAACCCTTAGAAGGGCCACCCTCTCAAGGCTCAGAGGGGCAAGGTGGCAGCAACAGGTGCACCAAGGAGGCGGCTCTGCAGGTGCGGATGAAGGCAAAGGGCAAGGCTCGCCGTTCAGCAGCGGCTTCAGCCACTCCTCCTGGCCATTGCTTAGCTCACTGACCTACAGACCAGAGCCACAGGTTTGTCTTGGCACAGTTAGCTGCTAGGACCGCCTCTCTTCACTTTCTTTCCCTCCCTCCTCCTCCCCTCCCTGCTCCCTTTTTTTCTTCTTCTTCATTGGCAGTGGCCAGGAAATCTGAAGTGGAATTTTGGTATATATATATTTTTGCATTAGTGTAAATGTCCCCTGTGAAGCTTTATTATTATTATGTGTTTATATGTATTTATTGTTATTATATATTTATTTATCTGTTTCATTCCCCAGATGGCTACCACAACCAGGGCTGGGCCAGACCAAAGCCAGGAGCACAAGCCTTGAGCTATCTCCTCCTGCCTTCCCTGGCCACACTAGCAGAGAACTGGCTTGGAAACTGAACAGCTGGGATTTGAACCTACACCTGCCATACGGGATGCTAGCAACACCAGCTACAGCTTCCCCTGTGCCACACACAGCCAGAAACCCCCAAGTGGTACCCTAACTGCTGTGCCCAATGCCCACCCCTTTTATATGCAAAGCGCTAAAGCTCTGGTGCCCAGGAATGATGAGCTTGGAGCCTGGCTCATCTCATTTCTTACCCTCCCTGGGTTTCAATGTCCTAACCAGCAGAAGCGGATATAAACACCTGCTCCCAGGGTGGGCCTCAGCAGGTAGCATGGATGTGCCTGGCACATCTGGCAGGTGCTTTTAATTTTTTTCTTCCTGTCCTATTTGGAGCTCGGTGCTGGCTCATTCAGCTTAGACTTGGTCCTATGGACGCCATTGTCGCTTGCTTGGGAATTGAGGGCACAGAAGTTGATCAGTGTAAGAGTGGAAAGGGCAGAAAGTCAAGGCGGTTACTGGGAGGGACAAAGAGCAAATTTGGTTCAACAAAGAGGAAACACGAGAGGCCAGCAGGGACTCTCGGTTATCCTTCCTTTTCTCTTAGCCTGCAGCTGGGCCGGCTGCCTTCTGCTTCCTACTCTGCCAAGCCTCAGCTCTCTCTAGGCTGCACCTGTCCCTCCAGCTGGTACCCACTACACTCCTGCAACCCGACCCTAGGTGGGCCTGTCCCACCTCTGCCAGCTGTTCCCTCCTTGTTCCCTCCCCCGCGGGGCTCTGTCTCTACCTGGTATAAGGTGGCCCCTCATTCTACTCATCACTGTCTCAGGTCTCCCACCTGACGTGGCAGGGACAGCTGGGCTTCTCGGGCTTGGCTGCTGAAAGGCCCTGTCAGCTTCCCAGCCTGGAAAACCAGGGTAAAGGAAAAGTAAGAACTCCTCTGACAGGAGGACCCTCGGCGGATCATGCAGCCCAGAAACATGACCTGTCGGGGCCAGCTTTGACCGACTGGGAGGTGCCTATGGAGCACAGCATTGCAGGATCTAAAGAGGCACTCAGGCTCTGCAAGAAGGGAGACTGTGGTCAATGACAGATGTTGCCACCAGGCACGGTTGTAATCAACTAGCCAAGTCTGCTGAGAGTGCAGACAATGCAGGATGGTCCCTACACACGTAACGAAGTCAATCCGACTCATGTTTTTGAGCCAAGTTTTCCTTTGCTTTCCTCCAGGGATAACAAATCAATAAATATAAAGTTAATTTTGCTTAATTGTGCTGTCTTTTGACAGTTACTTTGTATCGATAGAAAAATCAGTTTTATTTTTAAAGAAGCAATACAGTGATTTTTCTTTAAATAAATTTATTTAGAAAAAAAAGTGAACTTGTATTCAAAGTCACGAAAGGACTACACGTTGGAACAGATACATGACACAGTGAGTGGCCACCACTGGACAAACACTGTTCCAGGAATTCTTCAAGGCAGAGTTCACAAATGCTACTTCTTTTACTGATTGGCTAAATCAGACCAGCCTCCCTGATTGGAGCATGCAGTCCGAGCCTCCTGATAGGCTGCTGATCAGCCTGTAAGAAGGATTTATTGTCAGGCACCCAATCGCCTGTGAGCAGAGCCTATAAGTGTAGGCACTGGGAACTGGCAGCTCAGGGATTGTGGGAGCAAGAGATGGGATGTCTGCGACAATGTGATCGGTGCCTGTTCAGGACAGAGGGAAGGGATGTCAGGTGAGGGGTGGGGCAAAAGAGGGTACTGGGAGCCCTGAGAAAGGGCCAGCCTAGTGGGCAGGAGGGGCAAGATCCCAGGACTGGGAATGCCATGACAGTAGGCATGTCCTTGGACCCTGTGAAAGAGCAGCTGGGGCAGGGAACCTGGACAAGGCAATGCGGGACGGCTGATCATCCCATCCTCAGAATAGGATGGGATGCTGGGCAGTGAGAAGACCACGCAGGCCCTGCCCTCCTATACCTGCCCTTCTGGAATCCTTAGCTGATAAGGACCTGCTCTGGAGAGACCAGCCTTGGGTTTTCCGTAGCTATAACATCAGGACTTGCCCCAGGAGCAAGCTGCTGCCTGGGCTGCTCAGACTCTGGGGGGGTTAGTTTGTTTACTTCATAGTGGCCTTGCTACAGGTCTGTGAAAAGATCCAGCAGGTAGCTGCTTTGAGGGGGACAGGGGGCATGTCCACACTTGGGCCTAGGGACTCCGGCTATGGAGAGTGCCCAGGGGAGAAGGGGTGGGGCTACTTCCCCATGTGACCCCAGCACTATGCCTGGAAGCCTTGGCACACGAGGGGCGGGAATGGTTTCCAAGGGGCAGCAGCACAGGCCCTGAAGGGTGAGAGAAGTGTGTCGCCTGGGCCAGGCAGACAGCACCTGCCAAGATGTGGGGTAGGGGCACAACAACCTCCAGGCGTTGCAGTTGGACTATTGCACACAGGACCCTCAACCGAGGTCAGCGCATCACCCTGGGGCTGGAGGGGAGGCTTGAGTCGTGGGACTCTGACCTAGAAGGAGTAGCCCTGAGGTTAGTGAAAGGGGTGGGCCAAGTGAGCAGAGCTGGGCGGGGCTGCCTGCAGCGACACACTTGGATAGCCAGATATGGGTGTCCTTGGTAGTGGACTGGCCTTGCAGACACAATCCTCAGCTGGACTCCCCGAGGCCTGGCACACAGAGGCAGCCCCTGCTACCCTGTCCTCCGCCTGTCTACACTGCATGAGCAGGGTCCTGATCCCGGAGCTCCTGGAGGGACAGGTAGATGTTGGTGTCCAAGGCCGGTCGAGATGTGAGGGTCCTAGCCTGGTCCTGCATGGGAGGGGCCACCCAGGAGGACGTGGCTTCCTCATCAGGGCCAGGGGCAGCGACGCCCTCCTGAGCCTCTCCCTGCACCACCTCCAGGGCTGGCTGGATGATCACAAGCTGAGGGGCTTCGGGGCTGGGAAGCCCCAGGGCCAGAGGAGCTCCACTTCCAAGGATCCCCTCCTGTGGGGAGGGTGGTGGCCTCTCTTCCCTGACCCCACTGTTCCCAAGGGCAGGGTTAGGGGGACTGGGGCCTCCCAGGAGGCCAGGACAGAAGAGGAGCATCTCATCTCCTGGGGGTAAGGTGCAGTAGGCGTCATCTTCCCCAGACACGGTGGGCAGCAGCGGGAGGGGAGACCCCATGGGTGTCCCAGGCACTGCCTCCTCAGACTCCTCCTGCTCGCAGGGGTCATAGGTGAAGTACACCTGGCAGGCCTCGATCTCCAGGGCGTCCAGCAGGTGAAAGAAGAAGTAGCCCTGGTTGGTGAAGCAGCTGGCAGTGGGCGACGGCGGCAGTGCCCCCTTGTCCCGCTGCTGCAGGAACAGCTGGGTGGCCTTGGAGTCCTTCTCCAGCACTTCCACCTGTGAGATCTCAGGCACCAGACCCCCGGGGCTGAAAGCAGACGAGGGGAAGGGCGAGGCAAGCCACTTCTGCCGGGAGAAAGGCCAAAGGGAGGGTGAGTGAGGTCTCCACCTACCCTCCTCAGCGCCCCCATCCACCACCAACAACCCCAAGACATCAGCCCAAGACTGCCCTCCTCCAGGAAGTCCTCCCTGACTGTAGGACCCTGACTGGCCAGGGGAACCTTTTGGAAGTGAACATGACTCAGGATCCCAGGACAGGCCCCCAGGGCTCACAGGTGCCCTGACTGGCTGGCTCAAGCAGGGTTGTTCACCAAGCACCTGCTAAAGATTTGGCATTGTCTCAAGTGTGGGAATTCCTCAGAACCTTAGTTCTCACCCACTTCCTTGCTGTCACCTGTCTGACCCCCAGGGAGGTGGTAGGTAAGACACAGAGCAGGCGTTGAGATGCAGGCTACAGAACAGAGGTATAGAGAACAGAGGGTGTCGGGTGGTGACCCTGTGTCCTGGGAGCTCCCAGCAGCTGGACCAGTGGCCGGCCCAGGATCCAAGTTCAGGATCAAGCAGAGAAACACCAACTTTCTTTCTTTGGGTCCAGTCCCACCCCCCCGCATGGAGTCAGCTGTCATTGCCGCACTCAGGTGCAGGTACACGCACAGGTGCGTATGCACAGCACTCAATGAAACCCGGGCCAGGGGGTTGAGAGGGCAGGCACAGGGGCAAAAGAGGATGATGGAGAAGGCAGCAGGGTTGGGGAGGAAGGGCCGGTGCAGGCCCCTGAGGTTTGCTGTACCAGAAAAGTCAGCAGAGAGCAAGGCCCGCAGCAGCCCTAAGCAGCCACCAGGAGGGAAGTGGCCTGACTATGGCCAATGTTGGTGTGCACGGTGCCCCCAGGGCTGGGTGTGGTCAGCCACTTCCTGAGCCTGAGCCACGGTGCCCTGAAGCAGAGTCCAGGGAGACCTTTCCCCTATATGCAGGCACACACACATTGCACACATATGCCTAGCTCCCGTGGGTCCAGGGACGAGGCGCTGGGAGCGGGCAGCAGCAGGTACCCTTGCCTTGCCCAGGTATGGGGTAGGGATTCCTCTGCTTCCCAAACCCCAGTCTCACAGTGCCTCCCCAGGCCCTCTCCTCTACATACTAAGCCCAGGGCAAGAACATAGACTTAAGAAAGAGCACATGGGAAATCGCAGTGATTGGCAGCTCCTGGGAGAACCCTAATGCCACTTCCCAACCTCCTAGGCCCACAGGACTAGGACCTCAGTGGGAGAGGCCTGATGGAGCTTGGTTCTGACCGTGCTCAGCCAACGCTTTCTTGGATGCTCTCCTGCTGGGAATCTCACTACCTTCCAAGCAGCAGGAAGAACATAAAAGAGAATGCTTTCTGCCATGCCAGTTAAGTTTGGGGAGGTTAATCTTAATCTTGGGAGTTTCTCAAAGAACTGTAGAAGGTCAGCCCTGACACACAACTGCAGACCAGCTCAGGCCAGCCTGGGGATGCCATGGTGGTCCCACCCCTTGCCATCCCTCCTGACCTCCTCCTATCTCCTGCCCCGTCTCAAGAGCCCTCTTCCTTCTGAAAGTACTGATGTCTATGCAGCACGGCAGGGGTGGGGGGCAGAACCTGCGCCATGAGTCCTGCTGGGTTCACAGGCTGTGTGCCCAGAGGTGCTGAGTGTATAATGCTCAGGGTAACACTGGCCTCTCCCCATCCACTGGCTGAGGAATTGGAAGTCCCAGCACGTGCTGACAGTCAAGCATGGAGCTCAGGCAGCCTGGGCTGGAGGATGGAGTGACACTCACCTTGCCAGAGCCCACAAGGGGCCTGTGCCTACCCAGGACACTGCTCATGGCATCCCCTCCCGTGGGGCACAGAGACCACAACTCTGGTGCTGCCCCACCCCTACCTGTCTGCAAGAAGCATGACCTCCGGCTCCTACCTGGAAGTCGCCTCCATGCTCAGAGCTCAGCTGGGAGAAGAACCGTGAGGGGTCGGGGACGTGGCACTTCAGAGCCTTCTTCAGCCTGCAAGGGGGAGAGAGAGGAGGGAAGGAGGGGTGAGGATGGGAAGGGACAGCTGCAGGCATACATTAGCTCACAGCTCTGCAGCCAGCTGGGCCATGGAGCCAGTAGTGCCCGGGTACCAGACATGCATTCCGCTCATTCAACCAGTGTAGACTGAGGGCACAGGCAGGCCACACAGGGACACAGCAGGGCCAACAGAGAAGGCCCCAGTCTCCAGGAGCTAGCATTCTTTCTTGAGCTTTATTTGAGAGACTGAGAGAGAGGAATCTTCCATCCACTGGCTCCCCACCCCCACCCCGAAATGCTTGCATCAGCCCAGCAGCCAGGCTAGGCCAGAGTAGAAGGCAGGGTTTGGGAACTCAACCCAGGTCTCTCCCAAGTGCATGGCAGGGACCCAGCTCCTTGAGCCATCATCACCTGCTGCCTTCTGCCTTCCAGAGTGTATGCTGGCAGGAAGCTGGACTCAAGAATGGAGCTGGGACTCACACCCAGGCCTTCGAGTACAGGATGAAGGTGCCCCAAGCAGCAGCTTAACTGCTGTGCCCATCCACCCATCCACCAAGGAACTCACTCCCGATGAGAAGACAAACATGGGAGAAGTCTGCGGCATTACCACTTCTATGAAGTTATAAAGCAGAGGAGGTAAGGGAAAGAGGGAAGGAGACAGGGAAGAGAAGCATGTGGTCGGGGCTGGGGAAGGGGGAACCAGAAGCAAGGAGCTAGCAGAGAGACCTCTTAGGTGGATGGTGGTTCAGGATGTGCACTGCCCAAGAGTAATGTCTGGCTTTGGGGAGGATGGTGAGTGGGGGCTGAACTCCAGTGTCTGCACCATTTTCTGACGTGCTCCAAGGAGGAGGCCCTCCGAGCAAGGTGCAGAGGGAAGTGCTTGAGGAGTGAAAATGAGAGAGATGCTACAAGAACAGCCCACATGGCAGTGAGGAGGGCAGGTGAGGATAGCCCTCCCATGTGGGAACTGCAGCAGCTGAGGGCACAGCGAGGAGTGAGGGGCTCTGCAGCAATGGAGGGGAAGGGAGAGCTGTGCCCCCCACCCCAGCTCGGAACTTGCAGGCAGGTGGGCCAACTGCACTGGCCCATCCAGGGCTATGTTAAAGGCGTCTTCATGGGATTGTGGGAGTCCAGTGAGATTCCTGGGGCAGAGGCTAGGCTCTGCAGATGCCCAAAGACAGTCCCATTCCTGGGGGAGGATTCTCCCCCTCCTTGCCACTGCCTGGTCTCACCGCACAGGAGCTGAGCCGCACCACACTTGAACTCGGTGACAGCCAGTAGGCAGCCCCAAAGCCTGGCATGGATGGCATGGTTGCCCCAGTGAACTGCCCACTGCGTCCCCTCCCTGGAATGCCCCCTTCTCCCTGCCCAGGCCCTTGACACACACAGTGACCTCTCAACCCCAAATAACCTACTCCATCCCTGCTCCCCCTAGTTGGGGGTGCCTGTCCCTAACACCCGCTTCTGACATGCAGCTAGGTTGCCTGGCCTCCTTGTCACAATGCATCACAATGTCTGTGTGCAACGCCACCCTGGATGAGTCCCATGGGGCTTGGAGCCACCTGTGTGACTTGTCAGTATACACCTGGCACACTGGACACAGCAGCTGGCATGGAGTTGGTGCAGTGATGAATTTGCAGCCAAGACAGGTGCTCCATGCCCCACAAACACAGAACTGATATGTGCATGCACATGCCTCCTGGTCCTGAGAACCCTTTCTGGGCACAGCTCCATGGGGTCCCATCCACGGGAGTGGCCACAGGAAAGGCCCAGGTGCTGAGCAGGGAGAGTAGAAAAGACACAGGTGTTGGGATGGGGGGCTTAGTGCACATGTGAGCTGGTGTAGTTAGTGTGTGTGAGCATGTATGCACATGTGTGCTATGTATGTGTGTGTGCACATGTGTGTGCCAGGAACCTTCGGGAACTTTCTTACCATGACAAGATGGCACAGTTGTGGACCAGCAAGTAGACCATGAGGAGAAAGCCGAGGGCACCCCCGATGCCAAGGATGATGGGGACTGGCCAGGACCCAGTCAGGGTCTCCTGCTTAGTACCAATGGCTGGGAGGGGAAGAAGCAGGGCGAGGATCAGTGAGGGGCCCCAGTGCTGGGCCTGCGATGTGGGGTCTGCTCAAGCCCACCCTCTCTGGGAAGCCACCCACACAGGCTGAAAAGGGCTGACGTGGTGATGTCCATCAGGCACCTGCCTCCCGCCACCTTCCTTCCTGATACATCCCTTCCACCACCCCCAGCCACGTCTCGTCTGAGCTGGAGCCCCTGGCTGTGGAGAGGGGCAAGATGTCGAGGGACCCCACTCAGCCTGTGCCCTCAGCTGACAAGGCCACAGCACCCAGCCCACAGCAGTCACCCCCGCTAGCCCTGGCGGGAAGCAGGAGTCATGGGTCAGGGATGGAAAAAGCAAAAAGAGCCTCTCTGCCCCTCCCCCAATGCCCAAGGCCAAGAGAGAGGCTTTTCCCCTCACCATTCCTTTCTGTAAAGTGGGCCCAGGCTGGCAGGTGGCCAGACTGGAGATGGCCACTGGGTCCCGTCCAACCCTCTCCCTGCCAGCCAGCTGCTTGCCACCCCTCCCTCCCCACCACAGATCACCAGTACCTTCAGGCTTGGTCCTGAAAGCCAGGGGCTGGCTCCAGGGACTCCACACCTTGTTGTCGTCACGCTGGGCCCTGACGCGCACCTGGAGCTCATACAGGCTGTCGGGGCAGAGGTTCTCCAGGTTGATCCACTCCTGCTTCTGCTTGAGCCTCAGCAGTGGCCTGTCCTGTGCCCAAAGCAGGGCTATCAGGGCAAGAGGTCCCCACCTCGTCATCCAGAACCCCCTGACTGCCTCCCCAGCTTCTGGGGCCCCTCCCTCACATCCCCTCAACTGCCAATCAGTTGATCCTGCCTTTGCATCCACCAGGGGTCTCAAGCAGCCGCCAGCTTGCAAACCACAGCTGGTCATGCAGCTGCCACTTGCACCTCTTCCAGAAGACCAGGCAGATGGATGTCTCCACAGCCCTCCCTCTTTCTGGGTCACTGTCTGCTTCCTCCTGTCCCCAACACACAGCCACATCCTGCCGGTGCGTGGATGCTTCTGTCTGGAAAACCTTGCCCAGATCTCCACTGGGTCAGCTCCCTCCTGATGCCTGGATCTTGCCAGGCACCTCGGTCAACCAAGGCAGAAGCAGCCAACCCAAGTCACTCTCAAGTACCTCGGCCCGGCCAGTACCCTTCATGGGGTTGATTGACAGACTTATAGGAGCTCCCCCAGTCTCTGGACCCCCACCCGAGGGACAGAAGGCTATAGCCCCTGGGCCAAGGAGTAGGGGACTGCCCTGGGATCTGCCACAGCTGTGTCCCCAGGATGGCAGATAGCACCAGTGGCCCAGCATCTGCCTTCTGCTTGGGGCCAGTGTGACTGTGCAGAGGGACAATGCACGGACCAGAGTAGGAAAGAGGAGCCAGGCAGGCCGGCCTTGGGTCACACATTCACCTCCCAGCTCTGGCCTGGAGACCGTGTCCGAATTGTAAACTCCAGATACGATTGGATGTAGTGGGAGATCTGGAAGGCCTTCCAGCTGACGTTACATCTGCGAGAGTCCAGGGAGACGACCTGGAGGGAGCTGGGGGCCATCAGGCGAACTAGAGACGGGAGAGATGGGGTGAGAGCCAGCAGGTGGAGTGGGCCATGAGGTGAGAGCAGCAAGCCAGCCATGCTCCCAAAACCGCCATCCTCAGGGTCCTGCTTCCTTTACTCCTCCTGGTCTCTGTACAAATATCACCTATTCCAGCAAACCTTCTCTCTTTCCCCGGCCCATTTGATCCGTTTCCCTCTCACCACCGCCATCTGACTAGGAATTCTGGCTTGGGGTCTTTATTCATTTGCTGAATCCCCACCAGATCATGAGCTTGCTGAGAGCAATAGACCCTGTCCCCTTGCACTTGGTTCAGTCTCCACTTATCAGAGAGGGCAGGGCGGGCTCCTCTGCACTTGATTGATCTGTGAATTTCACATGAGTCGTCTCCCTAACAGTGAGTACAAAGACTGTTACAGTCGCTAGCGCTCAAGTGAGTTGATCCACATGCCTATAACCCTGCAGTTCTAGGGACCCAGATCACATCCCAAGTAGCTCCTGGGTCTTAGCTCATGGACTTTACAGTGACCCCGTGCACCGGGTAACTCTATCTCCATCTCACAGATGAGTAAACTGAGTCTCCAATGCGTTCCCTGCCCTGCCCATCTGAGGACACCCGACTAAGGTCAGGCTGCGTTTTTGGACCCCTCTACCCCTCTACCTCTGCTCTAGAGATGGTCCCCACGAGGAAGGCAGAGCCAGGCTCTCAGGAGCACTTCCCCCTGCCAGTTTGGTTCAAGCACTTAGAAAGGAGACACACTGGGATAGCGCAAACTTTGCCACCACACCCAGCAAAGGAGTCAGACCTGCACCTAGGGCCCAAGCTCCCTGAAAGAGGAGGCACATGGCCAACAGTCCAGGAAGGCATCATGGAGGAGGAGACTCCTCACGGAGACTGAAAGGCTCAGGGGGGTTTCTCCAGTTAGGAGGAGCTTCCCGGGCTGAAGGACCAGCCTGTGCTGGGATTCACAGGTGTGCATGGGGAAATTGGGCTCGGCAAGCTGGACACTGGTTGCAGCAAGCAGGGACTGTAGGGGGAGGAGGATTGGTCAGGAAGGCCAGGAGGGCCAGGTTCCAAGCAGCTTCGAGTGTAAGGTAAGGAGCTGGAATTTACCCCCGAGGCACTGAACCTTGAGCAGGTTGGGGTGGCTGTGGGCACTGGCGGGGCAAGTGGTGCTCCCAAAGGGAAGACGAGCAGGAGATGCCCACCCCTGCCTTCCTGCATCCGGGTAGAGAGGGGTGGGGATCACTCACGGTTGTTGAAGGGCTTGAACTCCTGGATCTTGACCAGCCGCCTTGACTCCTGGTCTCCACAGAGCACACGCATATGGATGATGTCAGCTGAGGTCAGGCACTGAGACTGTAGGTGGACAGGAGGGCAGGGATTGAGACAGGGAGGCCACTGGGGGTGAGAGGTGAGGGTGGGTGAGGTCTGTGGCTAGGGGCTGAGCTCCCGAGTCCACCTGCCTCTGCCCTGCAGCAGCCTCACCAGGAGCCAACTTGACACCTGCTGTTCAGGACCCTGCACCTCCCTCTGTGTTCCTGAGCCCTTCCCACAGCTGCTAGGAGAATAAAGGCTATTGCCATTATTGTTATTATTGTTCCTGTTGTTGTTATTGAGGTTGACAGCACACTGAGGAGCCCTCTCTCTGAATCTTCTCAGCCTCCTTAGAAGCAGCCATTGTTACTAACAAGGCTTCCTACTGCGGAGGAGACTGAAGCACAGAGAGGCATAGGGCCATGCCTGAAGTCACACAGCTAGGAAAAGGCAGAGCCAGGAGGGGAATCAGGCCACCTGCAGAGCTACCAGCAGTTTTAAGGCCACCTGCACGTTCCCCTGGCTACTGAGACCACACACAACTTGGTGAGGCCTGGGAGGCATGGCTGGGCAGCCCTGTTACCCACCATGACTGGTAGGGTCTAAGGGGCAGTGATCTGGTGCACACTCATGAGGCCAGACATGCTGTGTGCCTTGTGAGTATAAACAGGCTCAGCTGGATGTGCCGCTTGCCTTTAGGCTCTGGGAGCTCTGGCAGGGCCCACCCCTCTGAGCCTGGTCCCTCATCGGTTGGGCAAGTGAGGCTCCCCACATGGCCACTGCACTGCCAGGACCTGAGGGCAGAGCTGGCAGGGGGCATTCTTGCTGGTATCAAGATAAGGAAGTGCCACTGGACCCACAGAATACTGGGTGACAGCCGGTGCTGGGAGGCCATGCGTGCAGGGAGCCCTCATCAGCACCTCTGGGTGCTGCCCTACTGACCTCCCCCTCCTCCTCAGCCGGGGAAGCCAGCTCACTCGGGGCTGGCCTGGTCGGGCCCTCCCCACAGCTCAGTCCCTTCCCCATCCTACCCAGCCATCCACTGTCAGCTACCCACCTCTGGGAGGCCCAGGATCAGGTCACATACCCAGGTAGACCGCTCTACCTGTACCAGCTTGCAGGTTTTGTTCCAGAACCTGACAGCAAAACAAACCCCTTAGAGAACAAGGAGAGACTCCAGAGACGGGCCCAGGGCCCCTGCTCAGCTCCATGGGCAGCGTGGCCAGGTTTGGGCAAGGACCCCCTGTGCCTGCTACCCTACTTCTCCCTCTGTTGCCCCCCACCCATCCTGGCCAGGGACCCTAGAAACACAACCAGGTCAAAACATGAGTCATTCCCTAAACCCAACTCCCCCAAATCCCCTGGGGATTGAGGTACAGGCTGTCCTTAACACTGCCTTGGGAGCCCTGGGGATCCCCCATAATCCCCACCCCCAGGAGCCATGACCTCTAACCTACCTCTGCCCCTTCCTCTTGACTCCCTCGCCTCTCCCCACTGCCCTCACCCAGCTGCTGGATGTTTGTCCCCTGTCCCTACAGCTGCCCAAGGGGCATCTCCAAGTCTCAGATCACTCAGAAAGCCTAGGAAACTCCCTTTTCTTCCTAAGTCCCCAAAATGGAGCCCTATTTTGGTGTAGTAGGTTCATAAGCTCAGGGTCCCCAGCTACCTACCTCGCCCTGTCCTTCTCCAACTCCTCCAGGCAACCTCTCCTAAGCAAGGCCTTCATCCCAGACCCAGCCTCAGCTCCTACAATGCTGAGCCCCAGATTCCCTGTGGACGGGCCTCTGGGAGCAGGGCTGATATTTAGGGGTCCCAGAGCCTCAGAGAGGGCATGGCTGTGTGGGCCACACTCACCGATTTGCTGACTGGGCATGGATGAGGCAGGATGTGGCGGGCAGGCCGCCCTCCTGGCTCCACGTGCAGGAGATGTTGGCTTTAGAATTGTAGAAGCAGGTGAGTTGGCCAGGGTCTGTGGGTGGGGAGGGGCAGGATGAAGCGTGAGAGACCGGCTGCAGTTTCCCCACGCCACCACCACGAGAGGAGGCAGGTAACTCTAGCTGGCAAAGGAGGGATGGATGGGCCCATTTCACAGGGTGGGAAACGGAGTCTCAGAGCCTGCGAGGTCCCTCCAACAGGGCTGGGATAAGGAAACCATGTCTTCCTGGAGCTTGGATGGGACCTGACATGCAATGTGGGGCAAGAAAGAGGGCCCTGAGGGCAATGCAGGTCTGATCTCCAGTCCCCTGCCCTGCTGCAGACCCCTCTGCAAGGAAGCAAGCCTGCAGAGGAGTTCCAGCCCGGCCTCAACCTCCAGGGGAAGCACAGCTGTCCACTCTCTCACCGTCCACTGCTGCCCACGCAGGAGTGGTCGCTAACAGCAGGAGGGAAACGAGGGGCAGGCCCCAGGTCCGAGAAGGGGCAGCCATCACTTCCACGGGATGGAGCTGGAGACGTGAGCCCTGGGGGAGAGGAAAAAAGTCAACATCCAACCTGGCCCAGCCCATCTCCTCTGGTCCCCGACATGCCTCTGGCCCTTGGCACCTGCTGGTCCTCCTGCGACATGCCTCTGGTCCTTGGCACCTGCTGGTCCGCCTGCCCTTGCCCGCTCGGTCTCTGCCTTCCTTCAGATTTCTGCTCCAATGTCACTTCTGCTGACCACATTCTATAAACAGTACCCCTTGTTCCTTACCACACCTAAAACAATACCTTATTCTACATCACAGCGTTGTTCAATTGTTTATCCAATTGTAATCCCTCCCTTTGCTGCTGGGGATGCGTCCCTAGACCACAAGAGAGGCTCACGCCAATCCCTCTATATGTACACCCGTACACCCATGTCTGTGATACAATCTAATCAGTAAATCAAGCCCAGTGAGAGATTAGCAGTAACAATGAATAAGAAAAGAGAAAAATTATAAGCCGCGATAGAAGTTATATGACCATGATCTCTCTCTCTCTCTCGCCCACTCACGAGAGCAGATAGCACCATATCCGCATTTCAGGTAAGATGCGCAATGACGCACTGCCTCCGCAAACTGGTGACATCAGGTGTCTGACGCAGGCGTGTGACTCAGCTGCAACCCAGGCAGTTACTGACAAGGACAACTGGCCGCCACTTTCCGCGCTCCCTGGCCGGCCCAGTGTCCTCCCAGCCCTGGCCATTGATACCCTGACCTCCCACAGAAACCACAGTCTGGGGTTCACCACCTGTTGCTGAGCCCACCTGCCCTCACAGGACCAGCAGAGGCCCCACAGTGATCAAAGCCCGGGGACTCACTCTTGGGGCTTCTCTGAAGCTGGGACCTGGAACAGGAGCATGCCCAGCCAGCCCTGTTGGCTTTGTCCTCAGCAACCAGCATCCCTGCTGGAGCTTACGTGTGCACATGAACACATAGGAACACAGGCATGTGTGTGCTCACAGGAACACACAGGTGACACACACACACATACTCACCTACCATACAGACCTGCCTATGTAAACCAGTGGTTCCAGCAGCCTGCTTGCCTTGCGCTTAGAGATCCTGTTTCAAACACCTCTCTTTGCTTCCTCCATGTAACCTTTCTGATTTTCCAGTGGAGGCCAAGGTTCTCTCTGCGGAGCCCTTTGCTCTCTGCTCTAGGGTAGCAGCAGCAGGCCTGACGAGGCCCTGTGCTTACCCCACAGACAGGGCCTGACCCACCGTGGGCACTTAGTGGCTGCGGACAGAGGCGTCCAACACCACAAGGGAACACAGCTGGTTTGGGTGGTACTGGACTCATCTGGGGTTTCCTTCAGTGCTGGCCAGGAGCAGGGACCTGCCACTTCTGAGGCAGATGGCTCAGGGGTGAGCCTTGGGGGCCAGCACGTTGTTGGAGCTGGAAGGGCCAGCCCCTTGAGGACACCAAGGCCCAGAGTGAACTCTTGGCTCTTCAGGATCACACAAGGAGCTCAACACGAAGCTGGGAGCAAAACCCAGGCCCTTGCCTTCTGCTGCCCTCTAACCACATCCCAACCCTGTACGTCACCAGCTATGCAGACCCTCTCCCAGGCGCTGCTCCCAGAGTTAGGGCCCTGTGGGGCACAGGCCAATCCGCAAGTGCTCATCTTGGGGAGCAGAAAGTCAGAAAAGTTCCCGTGGCTCGCTCTTGCTGCCCACTGTCTCCATAGCCGGGGTGGGGGTGGGGGACTCGTTCAGTGACTCAGGCCACTCAGCTGGGTCCTCAAAGCGTCCAGATGCCCCCCTCCTATATCCCTCATCTGCTAAGTCACAGCAGAGGCACTGGGGACCCTTGGTGCAAGTGTTGCCCCAGCTATCAGGGTGTCCCCATTTCTCTGAGCCCCAGGAGAAGGGTGAGGACAAAGGGGTGTTAGATCACAGGAACGTCAAGGTCAAACCACAGGCCCAGCCAAGAGGCAAGTCTGGAAGGTGCAAAAAGCAACTTCTGGAGTTGGCTTCCCTCCTGTGCAGACGAAGAGGGGCAGAGCTTGATGGGCAAGGCAAGGCCAAGGGCAAGGGTGAGGTAGCAGAGGGGGACAGGGCTGGGAGGGCTCCTAGCAAGAAGCAAGCTGCTCCCTGAGTCTCCAGCAGATGAAGGAAGCTGCTCCAGGTCACAAAGCCAGGGTGAGACACGGTCTCAGGGGAAGCACTGTCCTCTCCAGGATTTCAGGCACACGCACTGCATGGTCCACCTCACGGCCACGTCACCAAGATCGGAATGCCACATCCTGGCTGGGTTACCCGAATCAAACCCAGAGCTCAAACGCGGGCTGCCTGATGTCAAGGGAGATGACGCCTCTTAGGATGCCGGGAGGAGCAGAAGAGCCCTAGCACTGTTGGCTTGCCTTTTCTCAGCTGCTGACACAGAGGTGTGGGTCAGCTTCTGGCTCAGGCTAGCAAGAGAGCAGAACAGGAATTGAGCCCAGTTTGGTGCTATTGGGCAGGACTGCCAAGCAGGAGCTGGGCATGACCCAGCCAGCCTCTGATCCTTGCCCCTCTAGCAACCCCTACCTTGTAGCCCAACTCCCCAGCCCTCCACTTCGCAAGGTTCCTGTCAGGGGCACTTGCAGCTGAGTGTGGAGTCCCAGAGGGAAGAAAAGAGACTCCTGGGGACAGCTCTCCTCTTAGTCACCCCTCCCCCTCCCCTGCCTGGCACCTGCACAGGTGAGTGTGAGAGTAGGGACAGCCCAGGACCCAAGCAGCCACTACCTGGGAATGCTACTGGCCTGTCCAGTCCCACAGACAAGAGACAAATCCAAGTTTGAGCCAAGGCTTTGACCTCAGATCAGGGTACAGATACTCTCGTTTTATTCCCAGGTCTCAAGGAGCCCTCCGCCACACCGCTCCCCACTCCTCACTCAGCCCACATGTGACCTCCCAAACACCCTACCCAGGGGGGCCTGGGTCCCATCCAAAAATGGAGCTCAGGAGAAGACTCCAAGCAGAACCCCCCTATTCCCACCTCACATCGGGCCTCCTAGCTCTACTCCTCTAGGTTGGGGCCCAGGGAAGCCCACAGTTTAGGGCAACTCCTTCTCCCTTCCTTGGGATAGGGTGGCTGGGAAGGAAGGTGCCTGGCCCTGCTTCTCCAACCAGGAGCCCTAGTATCAGACCCCATCACACACCCCACTCCCAGGAATTAAGGTTTGTAGGGGGTGGGGCACAATCAGGCTGGGGGAACTGAGTCAAAGCCCAGTCTTCCCCCAGACCTCCATCCCCAGCCCTCTGACAGGTCAGCAGGGGTCGGACAGGTTAGAAGTAGGTAGAGGGGAGAGGAAGGCATCACCTGGCTGAGACATGGGGTCGCAGCTTGCTCCCCGCGATGTTCCCGGCAGCTGGGGCTGTGGCCATCTCCGGCACTGGCCCAGGTAGCTGATGACTGCTGGGCCAGCCAAGACTGAAACCCTGGGGCCAGCCCACTTCCTGTGCAGAGACTGGAGGGGCAAGGCCTGCTTGGGGAGGCGGGGAGACTGGGCTGGTGAGCAAGCCTGAAACTCTGCCGCACCTATGGGTGATAAAGATCTTCTGCCTCCCACGCTGGGGGCGGCTGCTGGGGGCATTGTGGCAGCACTGGCGTTCACACAGCCACTTGCAGCTGGTGGCCCCCATGCTGGAGCCCCCCAGGGCCATGGGGGCCCTTGCTGTGCCTCCCACACACACACCCCCTCGTCTCACACAAGCAACCCAACCCTGCCACCTTCCTCTGGTCACCTGCCACCAATACACAGGGAACCTCAGTACCCCTCATCCTCATCCTGGCCTGAGACACCCCTATTTCTCAGAGATCCCCCTTTTTAACTAGCCTTCCAGGAAGCTCCTTCTTAGCTTACCATTCAGAGGCAGTGATTTTTTGGGGCTCTAGGAACAATCTGACAGCTTTACACTGACATGCTATAGCCTTTTACCTTCTCTAGTCTCTCTCATCCCTGCTTTGTCTAGAGGGCTGTAGAGGTTTAGCTCTGAGGTTTCATCTCTATTTGATTCACAACTTGGAGCTCCAGATCTCCCTTTAGGAAAATGCACAGCTATTTCCCAGCAGTGTCACAGGCCCTAGGGACCCTGGGGAGATCCACACCCACAGCCCTAGAGGGCAAGGTGCTATTCCCTTCTCCCCCTGCACAGCTCCACCTGGTTGAGCGCCAGGCAATGCCTCTTCCAAGAAGGCCAGCAGGGAGAGCAGAACTGACATGAGAGGATGGAATTGAAGCCCCTGTGAAGAGAGTCAAGGTCAGGTGCCTCTAGCTAACCTGGCAGGCCAGGAAGCGGGAGGCAGAAGCAGGGAACATCATGGCCCAAAAAGAGCAGGGTCCGAGTTAGAGGATGCCAGCAGCTGGGTGATGTTGGGTGACCTTGGGTGACCCTGTGACCCACCCTAGGCCACATGCAAGGATGGCAGCAGCTGCCTGGACAAGTCTGGAGGGTGACCCTGGTGGTGTGTGTACAGTCCCAATAGAAGCCCCTTTGCTATGTTTGGGATGTATCCCAGAAGAAGTTTCTGTGTGGCCAACCTCACCACCAAGTCCATATGCCGAGGGTATTTGGAGATTGGGATCAGACAAAGGGTTGAGGGCAGGGCCCCAGGCTGATGCTAGTGGCTTCAGGAGAAGAAGCGGAGTGAGCCAAGCCAGTGCACCTGGGAGGCTTTCCACTCGGTGGTGATGCAGGCCACCCCCCGTCCCAGGACGGGGACCATGAGCTTGAACTTGTCAGCTCCAGAACCTGATGTTGACCCATGACCCAGGCTGTAGCTTTAGTGCAGCTCCAGCAAATGGAGTCAGACCCTTCCTCGCCCCACACCCCTCCTCCAGGAAGGACACAAGCACGGTGGCCACAACAACAGACGGAAACAATATTCTAGGTTCATTTCATTTGAATATCTCTAGAAATTTCTTAAGAAACCAGGAATCTTGCAGGCAAGAAAATCAGGGAGGAGTTTGAGGGACAATGAGGCAAGGGGAGTTGGAAGGTCACATTTCAATACAGACCTGCCACAGGTTTCCTTCTCCCCAGCAAAGGAGGTCAATTTAAACTTTTAGAAACATAGAAGGGAAGATCTGGTGTAAAGCCAGGAACCAGGACCCCTGCTGGCAACCAGCAGCTGCCTGAGAGCGCAGCTGTGTCCACATGGGACACACTGGCCTGCCCTCCGTTGCTGTCCTACACGTCTCCATCCCTCTGGCCTCCCCCTAGGCCTGCAACATGACAACGAACCTCTCATCTGCCACCTACAGAGACCAGGAGTTCTCTGCAAGCTGAGGCTGTTTAAACAGGAGGAGGGTAGAGGGGAAGCGAAATCAAGACAGGTGATGACCAAGGGTCCAGACCAGGACGGCTCAGGTGGGAAGGCAGGATGAAGCAGAGGGGAGGGGGTCCAGGATGGTGGGAACAACCATCTGCCCATTACCTGCATCCTCTCTGATGGACACTGTTTTCCAGTCTCCCTTGCAGCAGATGCCTGAGCCCAGCACCACATAAGACCAAAGGATGTGCAAAGAAGTGACTTGTGCTATTACTAGGACTACAAGTCTCAAGTTGGGGCAGGAGCTTGGGCTCATGATTAAGTGGCTAGGTTGAGACAGCTGCATCTGTCACAGAGCCTGGACTGGAGTCCTAACTCCCCATCCTGCTCACATCCTGGTGGGCGGTAGGTCATGGCTCTAGTGGTTGGGTCCTTTCTCCCCATGTGGGAGACACAGATTGAGCTCCAGGCTCCTGGCTTCAGCCTGGCCCAGCCCCAGCCACTGAAGCCATTTTCCATCCAGAAGATTCTCTTTCCCTCTCAAATAAGTAACTAAAGAAAAAACAGCCGCACCTTGGTTCTTCTCTGTTGCCCTCCTTCCCTTCACCTTGTCCTGCCCTGACCCTCCATCTCCCCCTTTTCTCCCTGCATCTCTCTTTCTCTCCACCTCCCCTTGCCAGGATCAGGTGCAGGATTTTGGAGCCTGGGGCTAGTAGGCAAGTGTGAAGGGCAGGCCCCCACCCAACCTCAGCTCACACTCATGGTAGGGTGACGTGTGTGGCACACACCATCGGTCATGTTGGTCTCCAAGATGCGGGATTCTTGTGTCAGCAGCCAGCGGTGTCCCCCAAGTGCCTGCACTGGATAGGAGTCAGGTGAGGGAGTGTCCTGGGAGGCAGAGGCCCTGACTGAGGCCTGGGAGCTGCGCAGGTGTGTGGAATGACACCTGTGCTCTTGGCAGCCACTCAGGGCTGGATGGGCTTGCCTCCTGCTGCCAGGACCCCAGTCTGGTCCTGGTCTTCCTGCCCCAACTCTCAACATGCCAGCCACTAGAGGAATCCATCATGGCCCTGCAGTGTCTCTCCAGCACATTGATCTTAAAACCCAAGTTCTCACACTTGAACTTGAAGAAAGTCTTAGACAAACAGCTTCCTACAGCTCAGGTCTTCCTATACTTGGGCAGCCAGGCCAGGAGTCAATACGCTAGCCCTGGGCAGGCTGGGGTGCGAGTGGAGGGGGCTTCTCCTGCCCTTTCAGCTCATGGGTCAGCACTAGGCCAACTCACGGTCCATCCCCCAGAAACCCAAGGCTGTGAGCTCTCCTGATAGCCAGAGGGCCAAGGCCACTCGGGTCTGCCCACACCAGGGTCTCAGCATTGCAAAGGGCTAACAGCAGGTGTGTCCTCCAGCAGGTGTGTCCCCTCCCAGCTCCCAAACCCAGATTCCTGAGTCCCTTCCATTGTGCCCTGCCCACCTACAGCATCCTCATGCAGCCCTGCTATGACCCAGCCGCCCCTGCATGTCTGGAGACCACGGACATGGCGACATGGCTCAGCAGCCCTGAACTTGACTCCTTCCCTAGGACCTCATTGTCACAAGGGCCAGCAGACGAGTGCATCATGGAGTCCCCTGACCCTGATGTGCTCTTCTTGCTTGTCCATTCAGGACTGCCTCTTAAGGAGCCAAGCCAGCTCAGCCCTGCCATCTCCCAAACTCCACCTGCCTGTCCCCATCCTGATCATGTTTCCAGCTTCTGGTTTGCTGTCTTCCACACACTAAAGTTCCCGGGAGACACCATAGGCCACATGCATCCTGCAAAATCCTGTGTAATCTCCTCCCTTTGCAACCATGCCCACTTCCCGGACCCACATCTGAACTTTGTTGTAACCCAGGCCCCTCAAACGGCCCGCTCACTCTGCTGCTGCCTGTCATTCCCCACTACCATGCAACAGCGCCTCAGTTAGGATTACGTTTGGCTGCCTGTGTCAAAAAAGAAAAGAATGGGCTAAAGACAGAGTGAAGATTCTGTTTCTCACTTGGATGAAAGTCAGTCGTCCAGAGGCAGGCAGGACCAGTGATGTGAGATGTCAGGATCCTGAGCCACCTTTGTCTCAATCTTCTTCATGGCCCAAAAGAGCTGTTCGAGCCTCATGTATTACATGCATTACACCTGCCTGGTGAGGACCCCTTCCCAAAGTTGCTCTTGCACTTCTTCCAACACATATCCCATTAGCTATCACTGAGTCACATGACCAGCCTCGTTGCAAAGGAGGCTGTGAGATGTGCCTACCTCTAAACAGGTGTACATCGGGCAGGTTGGCCATACCACTGTATCTCTATCCAAGTTGTCCTCTGCCATCACAAACTTGCCAATGTCTTTGTAGGTGCCTCCCTGCCATGTTCAGCTCCAGCTGACCTGCCACCCACCCTCAGGCCCCAGCCTGTGTCCCAACTTCCCTCTGGGAAGCAGCAGGTAGCTAACCCCACAGCTGGAGGCTGTACCTGGTCTCACCTGCACAAGTCCCGGTCCCTGCGCAAGGATGCCGCAGTAGGCGTGCAGGTGTCCGATTCACCGCCGAGAGACTGGAGCAGGGC